GGACATTAGGACGGCGAAATGTTGGCGAAACATAGCCTATGTTTATACGTTGCAACGTCGCGCAGTAGGTTTGCGAGCTTCCGAGCAGCGAGCGCTTGGAGACAAGCGCTAGAAATAGGGCAACAAATGAAAGAGAAAAGTGCGATGAAAAGCCGGACGACGCGCAGGTTCAGGGCTCCAGAAATAATTGGCTTGCAAGCAGGCGGTAATTGAAGCAGGCGGGCAGTCCGACGAAAGAGTGCGCGCGCACCTACTGGCTGGCCAGTCGTCGTCGTCGTCGTCGCTGGCGTTGGATGCTGCCGGCTATTTATATCGGCTGGCCGCGCGAGCTTGCACTTAACAGACACAACGGCGAGTCTCGCGCGCCGTCGTAGAAAGCAGCGCCGAGCCGTGAGCCGTGACCCTTTCCTCAAAGCACAGAGCCAGCCGAGTCCCCCCCCCCCCCCCCCCCCCCACTCTTGCCTCGGCTGCTTCGCAGGTACACTGACTCGTGACTTGGTTGCCTGATTACGCAACAACGCGCAGCCGTTAGCCCCATTGTCAGGCGGCGCGCAACGCTCGCTTGAATTAACGATATCGGCGCGAACAACCTCCTCGACGTTGCCCGACTCTTCTTTCTCGCTTTCTTCGTCTTCTCGCCGTGCGCACCGTTCCGTCGTTGAGTCACGAGCGTTGCGTTTGCACTTCTAGCTAACCGCCAAAATAGTTGGCATTTGATTTTCGCACCGCTGCCGCCCGGGATCATCGTCCTTTTTAATGCGGTACAATCTCGATCCCACTTGTGTTTACCTTTCATATCATTATCATTTGTTATTCGTGGCGCTACGCTCTGCGCGAATACACCTTCCGAATGCCAATCGTGCGAAAATACACGCACAAAGCATCAAAGTACAAAAGTACGCGCGCGCACGTATCGCCGATGCATCGCGATTGCGATTTTTATCGATCGCTAGTAAATAAGCTGCTTTGTACGAAGCCATCGAGACAGAGACGCTAAGAGCCAGCAAGAAACAAACACAAAGGCGCGTGAAAGCGTGCGATTCGAGCCTCGCGCGGCTAATAACCGTCAAGAATATAAGACGCGAAAGACAAGTGCGCACCAAAAAGGATCGGACGGCGCATGCACGCGGCGTCGTTGCATCACACGAGACGCCGATAATAATCGGCAGTCGTGTCCCCTTTTCACGCAACTTTCACTCTGTTTGTGCCATTTTTTCGTTACTGCGACGATGAGCATTGCGGCGGCGCGGGGCATCTGGACGCCATACACGTTCCGTTTTTTCTTTTGCCTCGCATTGTGTTGCACAGGCGTGATCGCTTTACGACATTACATTACGAATAATTCAGGCGTTTACATAAAGCACAGCTGTACTCGACTGCTTGTCTTCATTCCGTAGCCGCCAGCGAGTCATCGTCGGTGTCTCACGTTCGCTACCCCGGAGGTTCGTTTTATAATTGGGTCAATATGTTTGTGGCAGTTCTGTGTCCGTCGGAACCAAGGGAGCGGAAAAGCGAGTTTTCTCGCAATTTGAAATCGATTCAGCAGGCAGGACGACGCTGGGTCGAATTGATCGCGGGAAATCGGTGACATTATTAATCAGAACGCATGCCTTGCACTTATCTGGATGTCGGATGACTTACGACACGTGCTTGCATATATCAATGTTTTCGTCGATGCTCTCGCAACGAGAGTTCACGATTTGCTCAGTGGTAAAATTAGCGCGGCATAATGAACTCTTGCAATGAACTCTGCTTTGTAAACTTTGAAGCGCGACTGCTCTTTTTTTCATGTTGCTGTCGCAAATGAATGCAACTCGTGACCTTCCTTAAGTTGTAATACTCGCAGCAGCAGCGGCGGCAGCAGCGGCAGCAGCAGCAACAGCAGCGGGAGAGAGAGAGAGAGAGAGAGAGAGAGAGAGAGAGAGAGAGAGAGAGAGAGAGAGACAGTTCGATAAGAAAATAATAAATAAATGATTACAGCTCTCGTGTAGAGGTCGATAGGAGCGAGAGAGTCGAGGCGATCGTTTCTTATAGATTACATAGCTTGGCAAAACGTTGTATTCCGACTGCGGAGTATATAGTCCGCGCAAGTACAATGCGAGTTCGCATGCCAAGTGAAAAAGCAAAAAACAAGTGCAGTGTACACACAATAAGTGGATGTGTACGCACACGAATGTGCACCGAGTTACATTTTTCAATTACTCTCCTCGTTATCTCGGAAAAACTCGCGGGCATCGATCTAAGTATAGTGCGATGCGCTCGTGTACGTGTGTCTGTAAAAAAATGCGCGAAATTTTAATTGACAACGAACGCCGATTGCAAATAGCCGATATAACGGTCGATGATAAAGGAGCTGCTTATAGAAGCGGACGTGTATTATCAGGTCGTTTTCGCGCGATAAGAAGCTGAATGAGCAATTGTAATACGCGCCTCGAAAAGAAGAAGCGCACTGCTGAAAATATGTCAACAGTGCGGAGAGCGTCTACTTGCGCGAGCGAGAAGGAGCGATCACGAGGGAAAGGAACGCGAGTCGAGGGGCACGCGGGCTTGTCGAGAACAGATAAGCTCTACGGCCGTGTCACGCGCCCAATCCAATTGCACGCTCCGCGGGAGCAAAGGTCGAAAAGGTCGCAAATGGATAGGACAGTAGGTGGAGTGCACGGCGAGCGAGAGGATGTGCACCGACGACGCGGCGCGTGGTGGGGCGCAATTGCAACGCCACGCACGGCCGCGCGGTTCGAGATCTCGCGTCGGCAGATCTCGCGAACTCGGATGACGAGAGGACGGCTGAAAATCAATCTCGCGTCCAATCGTCATTTGGCAGATCCATGCACAAGCTCAAAGAAAAAGAATAAAAGGACCGATGTGTAACTAAGCGGCAGAGGAAGTAGCAGCATCGGCGAATACGTGTATATAAACGATGCCGCGGTTGACTGCACTATCGACTGATCGAAGCCCGTTTGAAAGCGCTACATCGGATGACGTCAGCCGTCACTGATGCCCGAGTTATATAAACCTTTGGCAGAACGAGGAAGAGCGCGCTCTGCCCATTCGTCGCTCACTCTTCTCTTGCGATGCTCGCTGCATGCTCTGCTCGCGGCTCGCCTCTTCTACTACCTCCCTACTCCCCTAAGAAGTCCTGTTCATCGTTCCAACTATACTTTATCAATGCTCCAAAATTACACTTGCTTTTAGCCTTTTCGCGGCTGCCCATTTTCGTCTAACTCGTTGCTTCGACTTACATTATTTCAAGCTTCGCTTTTTATAAATAACACTTGCCACAACCGCTTTTTACGCTTTCTCCCATACCTTTCCAACAATTAGTATTCATTTTATTGTACAGTTATCCGACACATGTGCAGTGATCATGGATATTTCTCGATTTATGGATAAGAACCACAATCTGTCGGATGATAATAGAACCACCCATGTTTTTTAAGGTAACGCAGTTTTCGTTCTTGACAGAAAATAAATACTCGGTTTTCCTTCAACAGATGGCGTTGCAATCGATTTCTTGCAATCATTTTCCGATTTTTCTTTAATCACCTGATTGATATTTAATAGGGAAATATTCTTCCGTAAGACTAAAAAACGTGCTTCTATCATTACGCATAAAAATTGGAAAATGATAACATCTTATTTCATTTGACAAAAAAACTGTTTCCGCCCGGGATCGAACCGGGGACCTTGTGCGTGTGAAGCACACGTGATAACCACTACACTACGGAAACTAACTTAACGTACTCTATGAATAAGGTTGCTTTTATTCTCAAGAAATATTTCGTATATTTAAATACGCATTAAAATTTTAATCAATTGAATTAATAAATTTAGTGTATTATAATAAATTTTCAAAGTATTAAAATTAATAATACTTGTTAGTAAGTTTTTTTTGGTTTTTTCTCTGATATTATCTTTTTTATTATGACAGTACAGTGAACGTTAAGCTCAGCTAATCTCTTCTAAATGCGTAATACAACGTAAAAGAGAGATAGTATTAGCCCAAATCAGAAAAGTATTGATAATTTTATAGCACGTGAGAATTGACAATAAAGACGAAGCCAAGCGAAGAAAGTAATTTTATAATGACGATAATATTGTATTATAATACGGATTTTTCAAGCGATTTTCAAACAATAACAATGAATTATTTAGATGAAAAGAGATGTTTCACGTTTTTCTTAGTTTTTTTTACCGAAATATACGCAATCAAAGAAAATCAATTTTAATACGTATTTTAGGTCGAAAAAATATTAGTAAGTCCATAGCACACGAAAATTAACAGCCGAGGCAAAGTCGAGGTTGTCAAACACGTGAATGGAATTTCATGCGCTTCACACGTATTGGGCGCACAGGGCCTCATAATTATCATGGTAAATGATAAATGACAAGGTAAAATAGCGTACACTTGGAATTATAATTTTAACGCTGTACAACTTATATTTTCCTTCTTTATCAAAATGACGTTAAACACGTTCAAAATGATAAATCATTTTGTTATTGCAAAATAAAACATCACAATAAATATTTATAAGTATTTTAATGTCGAAATTGATTACTGAACTTTACGCTTTGCATGAAAATATGAACGATTTGCTTGCCAATATTTTTCCATCCGACAAGATTTTCATTATGTGAATCAGTAATTAAAAAAAAAGCTACTACCAAGTAGCCATTGATATGTGAATGACACTATAATTGAATCCGTTATATGCATGTTTTACAGCAAGAGCCAGTTTGACGATAATAGTTTTTGTAGTAATTCCCACATCAATCAGTTGCCACTTTCGAATTCATATCGCTTCCAATTATTTTTATGCACATATTTGGCTCATCTTACATGATAAAGTCAGGTCTATCAAGCACATATATACGTAAGTTGTTTTCAGTCTTCGGCGCTACATCATACTCTGACTACATATTTCTTTTCATATTCTAAAATACGGTTTGATAAAACATTTTTTATTAATCTAGTATGCGAGGTATTAACGTTATTTCAGAAAAACTAATGAAATGTCAAAGGCATCAATAGTAACAGTATTTTAGCCACATTAAAAATTTAGCAAATTTCATCTGCCATGGCGGCTGAAAACAGTTACGTAATACGCAAAGGGCGAGCATGTGAACAAACTGAGCTGGTGTCATTCCTCGAACAATATTATTTCCCTCGTGAATCGGTCATCAGAATGTACTTACAGAAGAATAGATACAGGATTGATGAAAAAGAAAAAAAAATGATTAAAAGTGATATCAAAAGCACGTACTCAGTGATAGTTGCTAATGTGCCATCTCTTGTAGCGGTTCACGAGGAGTCTAACAAGATCGTTGGAGCAGTTTTGATGCTTGTGGAAGAAAATCCTAAATTCGCTAATGGAAATTCGAGAGACGTAAGTCACCCGTAATTAGATAATAAATTACCACATTTTATTAGCTGTATGCTGAGAACTTCTGCTTGAATTTCAAACAATCTGCTAAAGGCTAAACAAGTAGATAACAAGAAAGATTTATTTGTCAAAAGTAATGTTGTTGTACCTATGTTATTAAAGCAAATCTTTTGTATTTTTGATATTATTGAAATGACACCAATAAATAATTTATTTTCACAATTTTGACACTATTAACGTTACGTAAAAGGAATATTGAATTAATTAGTACAGCTCAATTGGATATTATTATTTATCAAACTTGGATATACTCGAGTAAACAAAAAATTCACTTCTGTTTATTTTGAAAATAATGTTTTCACTTAACTATCAACATTCGATCTTCTTATTTAAGAAGTTTTTGTTTCTTATGATATGAAATCATCGTTGACAACTAAAACATATTTTATGTGTATTTTTAGAATGCAGATAAGAGTTGTGCTATAAAAATAAGCCCAGTCACAGAAATTCCGCTGCCTTTTCAATCAAAACTTCTCGATGAAATAGCAACAAATGTCGTGACACCAGCATACAATTCTGTCGATTTATTTGCCGAATTTCCATTTCATCGTACAGCTTTGAAATTAACATTTTTATGCGTGGATCCAGAACACTCTCGTCATAATTTGGCTACTAGACTGGTGCAGGAAGCTGTTATCTATGTAGAGAATAATGGAATCGGATTCATTTATGGACTTTGCTCGTCACCTTTTTCACGTAAAGCAACTGAAAAAAATGGTTTTCGACAATTCAGCAACGTGGACATAATGAAATATCGTGATGTTGACGGCAACTTGATGTTCGATTGCGGGGAATCATATATGATTTCCATGATGGCAAAAAAAATCAAAAAAATTGACTAAAATTATTCATCGCTGTTAATTTAGATTAAGCTACATACATACTTGAGAAAAATTATAAAAATTTATTTTACGCGATTTAGTTCACCAAATATCATAATAAATAAAAATTATTACTTATTATTACTATTTATTCGATGAGATACAAAATAATACGTAATATTTTTAATTTGGTTTAATATCGATTTTTAATTTGTCTTTTTTTATGAATTAATTATTTTTAAAGTATCCATTAAACGCTCTTGAAATTGTTATTTTTATGCGTCGATCCTGAACATCGCATTCGCAATTTATCAACGAGACTTGTACAAAAAATCTTTCATTATAACAAAAGTAAAGGTATTGGACTTGTTTATGTACTTTTTCTGTCACAATTTGCTCAATTAGCACTAGAGAAAATTGGCTTTCAGAAACTCAGCAATGTGCAAAAATTTAATTTTTCAAGGTGAAGAGTCTCATGTAATTTCTGTGATGGCTAAACAAATAACAATACTTTATAGCCAGAATGTCTGATAGTTATTATTATTTCAAAAGCTAAGATCATTTAAGCTTTGCAGAGGTAGGAAAACGACTTTTAGCCCTCAAGTAACTAACATTTTCTATAAAAGAACCTGTTAACGTAATAAATCAATAATATTTTACGAAAAATACAAAGTTTTATACTTGCACAAGAAATAAAATAAATCACGACGCATGATGGATTTGAGAAATAGATATTCATTTACTTTATAAGTTTAAAATTTATTATTTAATTAAATTTGAATATCACTAATATTTCATTTTCTGCCATGTTAAAATCCAGATCAACCCAGATTTGATGTTATCGACGCATCATATGTACTCTTGCAAGCTTTCACATAATCTTGATAATACACACATTAGTCTAGTTGACACTAGACGAAGGTAGAATATGTCTACGTTTTCGATGATTTTCGTTTATTCTGATTCACTTTTGATCGATACTAAAAACTTTATCGAAATGTCAAAATTATTAATTATTAATTAAATTTAATGTTGCCGTGGCTGCTTCTGATGATAATTATGTAATGCGCTAAACGCGGGTAGATGATAAATCTGCATTGGTGACACTTAATGAAGAATATTTTTTCCCTTGTAAGTACCTTGACATGATGTACTAAAAAACTAGATATGTGATTAATGCTATTGAAAAGAAAGATATCGCTTTAGATGTCAAGACTAGTTATACGTACACGGTCGTTAATCGACCAAGTCTGATAACGACTGAAATAGTAATTTAAAGGAGTGTTATAATAAAGCAACAGCCCTTAACAGCACATCAATATCCTCTCTTAGACAAGCAGTTCAAAATCATTCACTCATTGATATAACTCGTGATCGACGTTCGCCAACTTCAGTGTCATTCTTCGATAATACTAGTATTAGTTGACTGTATATACGTTAATCTAGGATTTATTTTTCTACGATTTCCATCGCGACTTAACTAAAGTTCCGCTATATTATTTAACGTTTCTTCTGTTTCTGCACACTTTTGTTCTGGAAACGTTGTAGTTGAACAGCATTAGTACGGTTAATAGATTCCTTTTGCTCGATTTACGCATTATTGCTGTGACAAGGTTGATGATATTAAAAAATAAACCTATCGCTTTAGATGTCAAGACCAGATATAGAACCATGGTTGTCAATCTACCGAATCTAAGAATTGTCCAGGACGAGCTGAAGAGGATTGTTGGAATGATTTTGATGAAGATACAAGAAAAAATTTGTTTAAAAGACTGGCAAATATTTTATTATAACAAACGCTATTAATATAAAATTTACGTCAATTGAATAAATTGGAAAATAATCTATTTAGAAGCACATAGGTAGATAAGATAGTGACATAACAAATTAAAAATTCCATATGCCAATTATGACTTATACTCAATATAACTAAAGTTTAATTTAATTTATTGATTTAATCTATATTAAAAAAGTATAAATAATATTATTTAATTATAGCCATAGAAAAATCATTAATTAGTATAACATTACTATTCCTACAGTATAAAATGAATTTCAAATCGATGAATTTACAAAGATTTTATTGTTTATCTGTCATTCTATTTATAACTGATGTTATAGATAATGAAAAAAAGAGCTTTTGATGTATATTTTTAAGCTGAACTGAGTTTTTTTCATTTACTTTGTAACTATTTATTTATTTTTTTTTTTTTAAAGACGTCACGAGTTTTGCCGTAAAAATAAATTTAATTGCTTTGAAGTCCTAACTTACTTACATACTTAGGTCAGCAAGATATTTCTGGTAATTTATTAAACAAATTTCCATCTCATTAAAGGATTTTGGAGATTTTGATTTTGTATGTTCTCCCTGAATACACTGATCGCGATTTCTCCACAAAATTAGTACAGAAAAGCATTAGTTTTTAACCTCTTATGAATATTGTGCATTAATAAACACGTTTGAACTCTTTTATAATTTATCGCATTTGTCGCATTATTTATTATTGTGTAAGTATAACAGTATGTTTGTAATATTTTATACGATAAAGAATTGTTGAAATTTAGATTAAAAATTAGAGTGATTTTAGTATAGTGTTCTCGAGTTAAGAGGTTGAATAAACATAAAAGTGAAACCAATTTATATTGATGTGTTTATTGTATTGAAGTTCTAGGGCATTCATATAATAAGTAATATTGTAGCAAGTATGTTCCGAAATGTGCAAATAATTCTTGTTTCATGTATTACATGACCACAAACATACTCTGTATTTTAACAAATGATGGAGTGGAAAGACAATCTACTTATTCTATATTTTTCTATTCCGTGATAATATCCGCGTTGAGTTTTAAGTTAAAAGTTGATAGAAATTATTTCGTCATTACAAACTATCAGAGTCTAACACTACAGCTGAATATTTTTTTATAATTCGAATCTATATGATTTTTGAAATATAGATTGTTGCCGATTTCTAGACACATAATTCTTTCCAATAAAACATTTCTTTATCGTCTTTTCTGTAATAAATTTATTTATATATCAGTTTACATTTTATTTTATTTAATCTAAACAGACTTATTTAATTCGTATTTAATACAACATATAAAACAACTAGGCCATTCTAATAGTTTATTAGTAATAACATATTATATATTTTACAGCAAGAGTAGTAAAATTTCTGTAGATTTAGCGATTGGCACTATTATGAATAAAAATTATTATAATTTGAAATAAAACAAAAAAATTTGAAAAGTAAGCAAAGTGTTTTTTGAAAACATACTTTCGAAATTTTTATGGTTTACAGTAATAAACTATAAATTTAGGTATTTACATCCATTTAACATAACTATAACCCTTTTATAGTTTTATCAAGAAATCTTTCCTAAAAAAAATTTCTATGTGATAAAAATAAAAGTCATAAAACAATTACGCAGACATTTGCGACAAAATCAATGATCTTAAAATAAATTTCAAGTTCACATTACGTATTGCAGATTAAAGTCATGCATAAATACGAAGCTCGCACATGGGAAGACAAAGAAACGTGTACGCTTAAATAGTGACACTGATGATAAAAATTACAGTATTTATTAAAAAAATAGGAATAAACTTTGTCGTTATTGTAATTACAATTACTCGATGGTAATTTCCTAGTAACAATGACATTTGAACAATAATGTAAAACATACAACAATCGCAAAAGAAAACATTTTAGTATTTCACAGCAAGGCAATATATATTGAATAATAAGCTGTCTGAAATACATTAAAAACTACATTTATTCATTTTGGCTTTTGATTTATCTCACCGACCACTAATATTAAAATCAGTTGCGCGAGCGTTTCATCTCTATACAAAACATCTACATCTTCTTTGGCAAAAATATTCGTTGTCATTTCATGAGCCATCGTCAAAGTAGCACTAAATTTATAGCTATCGCTTATAAAACCTCATTTTATTGAAAATACAAAGTGCACAGTTTTTTAATGCTACTGTAACAAAGGTTTCTTATCAACGAAGACTCTTGCCTGTCATTTATCAAATATAGTTATTAGCTATCATTGATCGTCAGGCATTACAAAGAAATAATTAGATCTGCATTATTATCAAAGATGTAACACACAGCAGTAAACAACTGCTGTTTGTCATACTGCTCTATAAAAAAAGTTTTTTCAAACCTCAAACCACTCGATGTTCAAAATTATAGTCTTTTCAGAAGTTGACGAGTGGAGTAAAAAAATATCTAACATTTTCCTTCGACCGGACAATTGACTTGAAATAAATATAATCACGTATAGCTATCGTTGCATCCAACAATCATATTTCTAGGGGTATTTAGAGTCATTTTAATATCTAGATGGTGACTGGTTGAGATTTTGTTGTGATCTACTTCGCCGACAATCTTGCTTGTTATTATTCGTACTTGTGGGAGGTAACCTGGTTGTGTTATGTAGAAATGTAATATTTCTGTGATTCCTGTCGTGGCGTTCATCAGCAGCATGCCCTCCTGGATAATCCGGGAGTGGAGCTGATGTTTGAAATTGAGATAAGCTGTGGAGTACGCCAAGGGACCTTCGCCAGTCTTGATAATGTGATTTGTTCTGTTCATTGTGTTCGGTTTGCCTGTCCTTTCGTCTACTCTGAGAAGAACCACTTTCCGTGGAATTGCTGTCTTCGCTGGTTCCTAAACCAAGATCTCTATCTTCGAGGGCAGTTGTGCTAATAACTGGACTTACATCTTTTCCTTTGCTGTAGAGAAGTGTCGGATGAGGTATGACGTACGGTTTTGGTAGCTTTGCAATATCCTCAGCTTTTTCCAATTCTTCTTGTTGATCGAAATCGGTCCAAGAGCCAGGTCCAAATACGGAAAGCAGCACTGGCAATAAGAATAGGCCATGCAGAGCACCAAGAAAGACGACTAAGAAGACCATCTTGAAGAAGACGAGGAATATGTAAGTATCGGCGAGTACCAGAGCGAACAGACCAATGATCGTCGATAGAGAACCTTGGACTATGGGTAATCCCAAAGTGTACAGACACTCTTTGACTCGATCTTCAGGTCGCTTTTGTTTTGAACTCATGTACGCGTAACAGATGTGGGCGGTAAAGTCGACACTGAAACCGATGCACATAATTAGATTGATCATGGATATACTGTCCAAGCTAACGTCCCATAGCGCCATGTATCCTGCAACTCCAATCTCGATGGAAATGATGCAAAATGCTACCCACAAACTGCACAGCACATTTGGTATGAATATGAAGGAAATCACCATCATCGTCAGGGCACCATAAGTCAAACACTGTATACTCGTAGGCATTACGAGTTCGAATTGATCGAAGAACACGAAGTAAGGATGAAAAACTGTTGCATTCAAAGGAGAATCTTCACAAATTTGACGAAGTTCTCTGACCATGTCTTTTTCGTTGTTGGTTCCACTAACGTTGACCGCTTGAATGAGGAAACGGCTGGCAACGATATGCTCGGTGTTGTCGTCAAATTTGACGTCCAAAGCCCAAGTTGAAGTTGGATAAAGGAATGTATTTCTGAGAGTATTTATGAAACCCTTTTCATTCAAGATTGTATAGTTCACATGGTCTTCTTCTTCACGATGATCTTCGTAAAAAGAGAGAAAACTCCGCAGCCAACTTTCTGTATAAATATTGCTGCCGATCCATTTGGTTCCCTCCAAACTTAGCGTTAAGTTTTCCATCTGCTCCTGGATGACTGGATCGCTGTAGTTGTATTGACCGCTAACGACAACCTCGAAATTAAAACAATCGAATTATTAATTATATTGGTTGTAAAGTGATTGAGATAAAGAATGTTTGACGCAACCCGATGAAAAATTATTTTATTCAAAGCGAAAGAAGCCGCACAGTTGTTAAAACATTAGTAAATATTATAGCCCAAAGATGTTTTAGTATTTTTTTAAAAAGTAAGATTTTTTTGCTACGCTCTAGCGAATCCAATACACACACACACACACACACAAACACACACGCGCGCGCGCGCGCGCGCGCGCACGCACATACACATATATGCTCGCGCGCCGTGAGAACTTATGTAAACGCGGTCAATGATCGTTGTCGCATCGAAGCTTCGCTAGGCGCCAGGGAGTTTCCCGATAGTTCATGAAAAGCCACTTTGCGCTTTCTCGTTTAGCTGAACGCGCGAGAAACTCGTAGGATTCGTGGTCGTTTGTTGCCTTCCTAAGCACGCGCGCGCGCGCACGCATCATGGAGTAAGCTCTGTATCGAGGAAGAAGCAAATTTCCTTTCTCAATGAGCCCAACTTCCGCTCTCACTTTGAACGATGCGTCGTCGGACAATTCGATCGACTTTCGTTCTCTCGATCGGATGCTGCCGCAGTCACATCTCTAATCAATCTCTATTTCTTTCAATATTCTAAGTATTTCGCTAACTTTACTAAAGTAACCACATTATTTACACTTGGCGAATGTGCACAATATTATTCACGCCGCATTCGACGTCATCATTCAGTTGCAAAAAAATCAATATACAGACGTGACAAAATGTGCTTTCTTTCTTTGCCATGTTTACATAAAGGTTTCTTCGTCTCTATTGGCGAACACCCGGACGTATCAAAACAAAACAGCGACCGAGGTCTATGTACATAAATTGTGACCGCAAAATGTTCATGAGAAAGTCTTAGAGAAAAAAGAGCGACAAAGAGAGAAAAGTTGCGAAAAAGGTGAAAATTTCAGCGGCGCAGTCAACGATCTTCAAATATAGGGCGTTGGCAGCAGATTAACACGTGATGCAATGCGTACAATTAGAATCAGGTGTGCGTGTGTGTGTGTGCGTACTGGAAATGCCCAATATAACCGAACAATAGAAAGTTGCACGTCAGGGAAAGGGATGCGTGACATAATTACACACGATTACGCGCCGAGAGAACAGATGCCTGTCTCTCTTTCTCTCACTACGTACGATTAATCAATTGGTTGTGGCAATTTGCATCCGACGCAGTAGCTTCTGTTATCTCGCGGCTAGTAAGAGTTGTTGAAAATCTAAAGAGTGCATTATCGAGGCGAGACTGACGTCTGGCCTGAATACCTAGTCTCCGGAATAGAAATCTTGTTGTTTGAACGATACGCGCTGCTACGACAAACGCATGTACAATGTGGGTGTCATTGTTTTCTTTTCGGTATATAATTCGATCAACGATCCTGCCATTACGAAATCTGTAAAATTATTTCACAAGTATGAACATACGATTGTGTCATACTATCACGTCTTTAAAAAGAACGTTAATTAATATTAACTTGTGGCCTCGACATCACTACGAAACCAAAATTGGTTCTCGAAAAGTCATAAAAAAATAATTAGTAATTATTAGGATAAGGGAAAACCCACCTGTATCCTGTAAGGGAATTCTCGGTAGTAAGTGTCCTCTCGATCGTAAAATGTGATGGAGTAAGAATCAGATTTTGATAATCTTCTTCGATCTAATCCTTCCTTCAATGTTGTTAGTCCGTACAAGCCTCCAGCCAGATATAGTCCAAAAATAAGAATGACTACCACCTTGACTATGGGTTGGTTTAAGGCAGCTGCAAGATAATCCCGAAACCAACTCATGCAACCATGTTCTGGGTTATCAACAGGATTGTTCGGGTCTTCTGGATCCAATCCACCAGTGCAGAATACTCGGTAGAACCAGGAGCGGTGCTCTGCAATACGACCGATTGATTGATTGATTGTCAAATGATCTCACATTGAATTTGATTACAGTCTCGGTATTTCCGAAGCGAAAAGAAAGTTGAACGAGGGAAAATCAATGAAAAGAAATTGCACGCAGCAATTTCTCGGTAATGTAATTTTACGAGGACGTAGCCTAAGAATATAAATATAAAGACGACAATCACGGTGAATCCGAATAGATGGTATTTCTTAAGTAGCCGAAATGATTGTTGTTGGCAATAATGGGCTATGGTTAGTCTCGGCCTAAGGAAGGACAAAGCAATAAAATAGCAAGCAAGCGAAATCATCGTATAACCAACCGGATATCTCTTATAAGCCGGTTGGGGAACGTTCAACTTCACTTGCTGTCAGTTAGCCTTCGCAATCGCGTCCGAAAGTCCCCACGATCGTCCGATGGACGTCTTTCTCCGCGTAAGAATATTACAGAGCTTGGCGCTTCTTTTCTGTCGACGATATCGACAAATCCCAAGTTCCGGCAAGTTCCGGCAAGTTCCGGCTACTTTCTCCGAGCGCAGGTATTTAGAATGACTACCACGACGCGCCGCGCCGAGCAGCTGCTAATGTGCGCGTACTATTGCTAAGAAAAAATGCCAGCTCTTATCCAAGACTTTTCGCCGTAACAACTTTGCATAACCGACCTGACCCGAAAACATGCTTGGCATAAAAGATAACGAATAAAGGGAAAAAAGTCCGAGCGGTCGTTCATTAAAATCGACTTGTTACTATTGTCATATTTTTTATGTGAAAACTGCGACGACGTGAGGAGAATATCAATGGAGCGCTTTTGCGTGTACAAAGGCTGCCGAGGTGATTGTCTGCCGTTGCTACGAGCGTGCTGATGAAACAAAAGTTTATCGCTTCCGTTTATGACCGAAATGACTCATCATCCCCCGAAACGCAACTTTTGTTCTTTACAATATCATTGCATTGCATCTGTGAGCTGATCTACAGTCGTTTGCCAATCGCGCAACCTCGTGAAGCTTTGCGCGGAACGACTGATAAAGCGCCATACCGTTGCTCAAACTGAGTTTGTCATTTCGTTTGTCGTTTTTCTACTCCCCAATCACTGGCTTCATTTTCATTTTCCGATGTAAGACTTACTGTTTAACTCCTCAGTTTTTTATCGAACGATTCTTTTCTTGCCGTCCAGTCGACATATTGTTTTGAATAACGGGAGGCTGTGTTTAGCGTTTGCCCACCAATAAAACTTGACCAAGTTATTCAATGCGGAAATCTGTTTGAAATTTATATTGCAAAAATTGTGCAAACAGCGTTATTCAACGACGAAAATTCACAAGCCGCTTCAATCGATCATAGCGATTTTTTTCAAAACTACTATCACATTTCCGTAATGGCGAGGCGTTAAAAACTAAAACGCAGGCTCATTATGAAATCGCGCGGCTATACTTAATTACTACCGGTTGTCGCGCACATAAATAATAAGTTCACTCGTAACAAACGATTTCTACTTGATGGGAATCTCATAACAGGCGCCAAATTAATTCGGAGCGCAGAGCAGGCAACTTTTGTTTCCACTGTATTACAAGTTTCGCAAAGTCCAACCACGTCCGGTAGTAGTTGGCCTTTCAATCAACACATTATTGTATTCGGGCGAAACGTAGCCATGACTCAATGAAGCCATGACTTAACGACGCGAGCCCGCGGGATCGGCCCCGACGATTACGACGATTACAAACGAATTCGCGTCCAATACGATATCGTTCGGTTCATAAGAATAGGAGAAAGCGAGGAGTAGACAGCCCAAGGGGCCGTTGCATAAGTCGATCGGCCTCGTGTGATCTAACAAATTGACGACACTGACGTAATGTTTGACGCGCTCTGCTATACGTACGTTAGCTTACAGTCCGTCGACGACGTCGCTTTCATTGTTTCTGCCAATGTTACTCTCGATCGAGCTTCTTCTAGCTCGTAAGTTGAACATTTGCTGCTTTGAGAAGACGAATTTCAAAAGAAGAAATCGAAAATTTGCGACTCGGCGTCGCAAATTGTCGCGTAACAGCTTGACCGAGCAAGCATTTCGATCAATCACGACCGTTTCACCACAACCAATTGCACGTTGGATAAAATGGCTGTCCTTAGAGTTTTTGCCGGTGATTAGACCCGATTAAAATAATTCATTGTGCACGCTCAAAGCGACGTATGATGAATTAAGCAAGCGAGCTTTTATTCAAATAAACGCTGCTTTTACAAAGACAGCTGCAGCCTATTGTGCCCGAGCCAGTATCGCTTTCATGCGAGAAAGTATAACAGTTTTATACCGATGCCCGCTATTTTCTCGAGCGGCCTCATTTAACTTGCGCAGCTCTATACTTTGATCTTGATAGGTTTTGAAACAATCAGCAGGTGCGTTTTCTAAAAATAAAATAAGGGAAACTCCCGCTGCGATTGGTTGCACGATAAAAAGTGAGAAGCAAGAGCTACGAATGTCTAATTGCGTATCTAATATTCGGAATTTTCATGCGAGAACGAGAAGCGGGTCTGCGTTTATGATCAAACAAATCATAAACGTACACTCAATTTTCCTCTTACGCTAATGCCAAGGAGGCTAATGAAGAAGAAAGAGAGACACGTCGAGTGATCGCAAGTTGTAAGTCGTAAAACAACAAGGCAAGATGCGTCGTGTGACATTGGAGGAAGCGCAATTTCCTCGCTGATTCGAAGAAAACAAATGCTCGTTTGGTTTTGCAGCTTGCAGCTGAGGCTTTGCAGTCAAGTCATGTATCGTAAGTTGCACGCTTACCTGATTTAGAGAGCGGCTGTACCGAACAGCAGATCACACTGTGCAAGTTCTTTTGCTCGCAGTAGCCGCTGATAGCCATGCAGCCGGCGAAGAAGGTCAGGTGGAACACGAAAGTGAACACTACAGAGAAACCTAGACGGAAAAAACACACAATTATTGCACAATTATTGCTCATTTCTTGCCTTTCATTTCGTCTCGGCGTTCATTAACGTCACTTTATTTTTTCATTGGCTTGGCAAACACGCTCGTTTCGTAGTGCGCTCTTATTTTCAAAAATCCTAAGATAAACCTTGTCCTTTTTCGAAATATCGTTGATGCTGCAAGTGACTCGCTTCAAAGATAACGTCATACCATCAACTTGCAGATTTATTGAAATTCAATTGATAACATATCGGAAACAGCAAAATCACACACTAAGTAAACACGGCTATAAAAACTGGTACTAAAAAAATTCACGACTCTTCGTTGCAAAACAATCGTCTGTCGCGTCTGAATGGCTCCTCGATAAAAATAGATTTCGAATTGACCTGAAAAAGATTTTTTTTCGCGGAGAATTTTTACAGCCGTGCAGACAAACAGACAGGCGTGAGTCGATGAGCAAAACCACTGTTGACTATAAAAATAATTAGAGGACACCAAGTGTATCGCTGCAAGTGTTACATCGCGTCGACATCAAACTTATGAAAATATTATGTGTGACCACAACCAAGAGCGAAAAGTTTGCGGTCTCGACAATTACAACTGACGGATGATTTTACTTGAGTTTTACGCGAATTCGACTGTGGCAAGCGTGACATCAACGTAGCAATTTTTTTTTCTCTGCGCCATCCGACTGTCGAGAAAAATTCATTTCGAGTATTTCGAATTTCATTCATTCGAAACGGAAACGTTATTGCGAAGCAAGTCGGATGACTTAATAAAACTTTTATTTTTCGCTATGGCCATTCGTGAATACAGTGCTGCGAGTCATGGAAAAAACAAAACGTTAAAGCAACGTTGACTCTCAACTGTCGCAATTGACAATTAGCTAGTTTTCTACGCCGCAAAGACGTTTATTTCGCTCGACTGCCAGCTCATTATTTACAAAAAAGAAACGATAGCAACGAACCTGAGTAGATGCAGAAAATCTTCACTGATGGGAACGGCGAGATGATACCGATGAAGAAGGACACCATGTCGGTGACCGAGGTAATGGTGATGGATACTGCGGCTTCGCTCAAAGCGTGTGCCATACGCAGAGGCACAGGATCCATTATGTTTGTTCTCCTCCAAGCTGCCAGCATTACGAAGGTGTCGTCGATTCCGATACCTGCATCAACAGATTTGTACTCGATAATTTCATTGATCGTGAAATGCGATTCCAAGATTTGCGATTTACTCGATTCGCGAACAAAACCAAAAATCTACCAGTTAAAGTCAGCCAATGGAATCGCATTCCGCGTGCAGATGATTACGATCGTCGTAAAATTGCTGAAAGTTTACGAGAACTCGCTTTGAAATTCATTATGAAAGCTGTGCAATGATTGACGTTGTATTCCTGCTTGAAAGGTTACATTGATTTAAGGCTAAAAGAAATGGAAGAAACTGGCAAGTGCGTTGTATTGTGCATCAAAGCTGATCGATCGCTCACGGTGACTGAGCCTTGCTGCAGTCCTTTGAATGACCAGCCTCTAACTTTCCATAGCCCCGTCGGGTCATTGATCATCGCCAATCGCAATGAGATTGTGCGAAAACAAACAAAACCAAGTCGACCCCGGCGCTTTTCAGTAAAAGACATGGCCTGTTCGGTGTCTTGCATTAAAATTCGGAAAAGGTTGCGACCTTGACTGCGCGCGGTTGTGCCCGATTGTGCCCGGTTGCGCCCGGATGCGCCCAGTTGCGCCCGAAATTTCACCGCGAGCATCGCTCGCCTGAATCCCCAATCGATACACTTAGTTTTATGTAACCTACGTCTAAGCTGCCTTCTCTCGCGCACGCCGCGAGCGAGAGTATAGCTGAGCATATTCAGGCCTTGGATCGTTATTGCGGGTGCATTGTATATCGCCTGCGTGAATCATACGAATTTCGCTTGATCCGTGCTTCACGCTCGTCTACGAGGTGTGAAGTATGTTGTTTTTACAGCTATTTCACCGAATTGCCGTTCACTTTGTTTCTTTTCTTCTACTATTTATCTCTCAAACTATTGAACTCTACGAGTATATTTTATTTTCTGCAATTAAAATCTAGTTAAAAGCTCGTTAAGCGGTCAACGTCGTGAGTCACAAATCGATGCTTCACACTAAAGCGATCACTTATAACAATAAAAGCAACCAGTTATAACACGCGCGAGATACGATACTCAAGTGATTAACATTTTTTCAGTATTCCAGTCCAAGTCGCACGTCGTCTGCGCGCGAAAACTTATATGCTCTTGAGCTGAATTGATCAGGCCACGATGTATTAAACGAATCCTGCACAGCCTTGGTTCGACTGAGCTTTACCGAGCAATTACAATTCGACGCGCGTCTCATTGCGCGCGAATACGCTTAACCCGCATATCGAACGGGCGCATTACAGAGCCGCCTGAGGACGCGCGCGTTCGCCCGATTGATCGACACGCCGCGGATACGTGCTACGGTATTCGACTATTGATTTTTACTTTGCGCACTTTAATTATTCAATTTTATCATATATTATGTGGCTTGTTGTTAAACTACCGGCCTATATTTATCAACCTAATATTCGAATCCAGTTTTCGGCCAACATTCGAACTGTAACAAAGGATATCGCTCGTCGTCGTATCATACAATATATATGGATATGAATCTTGAATATTAAAATACGTGAGAATTCACATTTCAATTTAAAATCAGTCATTGACCTTCCAAACAAATGTACTCGACAATCAAACTTTTTTCATCGCAATTCAATTTCGAAGAGGCAATTATCGATAAGAATCACTTTCAAATGTCTGAAATAAATTTAACGGAACACGTTAATCTACGCCTCAAATTTTGTTTAGAAAGTAATTAGTGTCATATACAAAAGGATCATGTTATCCAAATGAATTCATTAAAGAAGCATTTGCTATTGCCGTTTTTATATGCAAATATCACTATCAATTGCATTAATGCAATCAACTTTTTTTGAACAAGACAAGCTCACTGTAATTACCGATACATTTAGTGTCCAAGTAGCAATCAAGCACTTTTTAAAACGCACGTAAAAAAAGCAGTGCAACTTTAGTTCGTCATTGTTATCCCGCTGTGATTACGTAGTCCATCGATCAACACAAGACTGCATAGATTGCATAGTTTATTTTCGTGTCAACTACTGATGACGAAAAAAATGTCAGCAAACCTTGTGCTTATTTTACTAAAAAACAAGTCCAAAAACGTACTCACCAATCATGAGGAAAGGCGCCGCCAAATTGATACCAATAAACTCAACTCCCAAATAGCAGCACAGTCCAAAAGCAGCAGTGGTAGCCATACCAGCAGAGACATTACCAAGTAATCCTAGCCAAGGTTTGCTACGAACCCAATCTGACATCATACAGGTGACGATAGAAAAAAGAGCCATGATGGTAAATGTACTGAAGTAGTAAGGGATGACAGTTTGGGTGTTACGTTCGAACTCCAACTCGAGAGTTCGCGAGGCGAAGCGTGCCACACTTATGTGTTTGAACAAATGTTCGTCTTCTGCTTTGCCTACTGCATCTAGGAATGCCTCTTCCCAAGCTGCACCACTACGAGTAAAAAAGTTATTTTTCCTTCGGGATTGTTTCGTTCGAGCTTCGTATATAATCCATGTATAATTTGTTCATTTATGTCTCGGCAAGAAACGTGTATGAATATTGCCCGCAGAGACTCGCCAATTTTCGCGATTTCGGTAATATGACGGCCCTTGACACAAAACTAATAGAATTATTTCTAGTTGAAATCATTCGAATAGATTTGATTTTTTTGCAACCTTATTTTCATCGTACAGTCAGTCACTGTATTATCTAATAGAATAGTTATTTTAAGTAATCGTAAATTCTCATAAATCGTAAAAGATGACAGTTATGTTAGTGAAAATGAAAATTATGAAATAGAGTTTGCGATACTGCTCTAAGTGAACCGAAATTCGAAACTGAGTTCCAGTATTTTTGTCAAAAAAAAAACAACAAAAAGAGGAAACATCTGTTGATTTGAAAATATTCTATCAATTCCTAAATCGTAGATAAATATATTAATAAATAAAGACGATTAAATTGTCTGGCGCAGCTGACGGTACAATTTATTTAGAAATAGAAGGAGAAACGAACATGGTACACCACCCATTATCTACAACATAGCTAACATCTAAAAATTTGTTACGTTATTAGGTTTGAAATTAATTATAACTAAATCTGCGAAGAACAACATAATTGCATTTTTATCTGTCAATTAATATGAACGGATGTTAAGCAATCAAAGCATAGAACTGTTTTGTGCATGCGGTGTATTTTATAATAGTTTTGATTTTATTCAAGCATGAAATTGACTATTAATATAAACAAGACACGATAGTCGTCGATTCAAAGATTTTAGGAGCAGAGCTTATTTAATTTTGCGTGGAATTGCAAGCGAGTCAAGTATTAAGTTGTATGCGCCGAATTCCGAAATTTTTTTGCAGTATGCAATAAGCAACGAAAATTGAGTAAAAATTTTAGAATATGATTAATCTTACTGCAAAATGAATTTTAAGGAAGAAGTATTGCGAGAGATCGGTGATAATCGTGGATTCTAATTTCTTCGTACAATTTTCTTTGCCAACTTTTTCGCATAAAATAAGTGCAAATAATCAGGCAATCCATTAGCGATTTTGACTCTACAATGGACTCGAGCATAGATCCGGTTCGCTCTTATAGAGAGAATCTATGAAATTTAATGAAGTATAACTTGAAGTTAAAGGGATGCACACGATGCAGATTGTCGTTAGAACCACTTGTAAGCTCGAGAAAATATGATATCGTAATCGACATGAATTGCAACCGGCGCAAATTCAAATAATAAGTAAACACCTGCTGAAGGGGAATCTATAACTAATCGCACTTTCTAACGCGAAATTTGCAAGTTTCGCGCGTACGAAGCTGTTGATGAATTACGAGCGGGCATAGCGAGGTTAATTCACTACAAGTTAACGAACCATACGAAATCAAAGTGTCACTCACATCGCATCTTGCTTTGCATTGTCCACAACAACAAAGTATCCCATTTGCAAAGCTGGGGCTGCTTCCAGCACCAAATCTTCGTTCACCACACTTCCACCAAAATATACGGGTATCAGGTGAGGAGTCCACGTGACGGGATTGAACGATATTGGAAACGTTAGATTCATCTCCTTGTTCTCGACGTCCCTGTGCACAAACAAAAATTCATAACGCAATGTTCGCACGCAAGTAATATGTTTTGCGTCTCTTTTTTTACGTGCTATACCAGTCTCGTTCCCTTTCACTTTTAACCTCACTTTAAGCTGCACTTCGCTGTGCATTAAAAGATATTCGGTGTTTTGGTCTATGAAGAAACGCCGCGCGAGGCATGGGCTCTCGGAAATACGAACAAACACTTTTATGGAAATGCTGATAAGCCGATAAGGAAACTTTGGATAAATATTACGCGATCGAATTAGAATTTCGTAAAATCTAAAGAAAGTAACCCGCCTACTAGTCAACGAGCGCGCGCAAAAATTAATTAATTGACCGCATTGAGCGCAGAGCACTAAAGCGAACAGCTTATGATTCGCTCTGCTCAGGGAGAGCACAGGCATAGCATAAGGAAGAGCGTAATCAAGATTACTTATGCATACTAACTCGATGATTTGATCGAGCTCGAGGATGTCGTTGGTAAAGCACTCGCCCAACCACTTTGCGCAGATTTTCGCATAGTTGTACGTCTCGCCATCGTACACTGCCGTGGCGTTTCTTATCATCTGGTCGAGTACAATCAACTCTTCGAATATCACCGAACGGAGTAAGTTCGTGTCGTTGTCCTTAGACAATACCACCACGTGACCAAATCGTCCTAGAAATGAAAGTGTCAGTGATCTCATCGGTGCAATCTCATCGTAATTTGGACTCGACGCGCGAGCTTCGAAAAGGCAAAGCAACAAATAAACAAGAAATTAACACGCCATTCAGAAGCAACGTATCACTTTTTTAATTAATTACTCCCTTTGAAGACAAATAAAAGTACATACCTGGCCTCGTGATTCGCGCGATGCTAAACTTATCGCTATAATTCACTTGAAAATGTTCCTCGACAACTGCTCTCTCAGCCTTTCCTGGGCCATTAATCGGTGAGAACAGATATTCCGGATCGATTTCGTAGGTAATCCGTTGATAACCCGTCAAGCAAATGCATCCCAAGAGGACCGGCACTATGACGAAGTATCCTGGATGTCGACCGACTGTCAGGCCGATTTTGAAGAAGGCTTTGTTTAAAAAGTCATCGACGCACGTTATCGACAACATCGTCTGAAACAGAAATTTATCGTAGTTTTTATTCTTTTTTTTATGATCATTACCACTTAGTTTTTTATAAAATCAAGCTGTCCTTGGGTCAAACGTCCAAAGTTTATCAACGAAACTCCGAAACTCACATCGGCTATGCCAAATATCTCTTGCTATCGTCTACTGGCTGATCTTGATTTCCACTAAAGCGCAACAGAATAAAGAGGATGTTCCATATATAAGCAAGCTGCCCGTCAGCCGCCGGAGAAAGGAGAACGTCCCGGCGAACGGTTTTTTTAAAGCCTTGCGATCTTTCGCCAATCCGAACTTACCGGACCTTTCGCGCATTCTCGCTCATTTTTTTCCAATCCTCATCCTCATTGATCGCAATCAAGTCACAGTTAACTCTATTATGTTTTAAAATTTGAAATAATACATTTCATAATAACGATCTCTCCTGAAACTTTATTCTATCCGACATGTGTGAAAGCTCGATTAGAATCTTCATCATGAAGGATAACGCAGCAAGAAAATTATCCTGGCACCGGGCCTTACGGCATGTTGCTTTTCATCCGTAGCATAAATATTCCTATTCTTATTTCGAAATTTTTTATCATTTTTCATGTATCAAAGAACGTTAACCTTTCGTCCTGTCAGTCGCGATGCAATCATTGCAATCGACATCTTTCACATAACATAAAAACTTTGTAAAGTCGTATTGATTTATGACTAATCACTGTCACGCGAAGGATTAACTTAAAAAATCGAGTACAAACGTTACGTACAGCACATCGTGACTAAGTGGTAATATATTCAAGTTCACTTGAATTATATTTGTATCTATAAGTGCTACAAATGACTTACTTTCGCTTGACGATATCAGTGCGGAATGACATTTTTAGTGTCCTGAATGCTTTTGTGTCAAGGACTTCAAGTTAGTTTTTATATTAACGGAATAAAACGTTCAAATGCAAATTCATAGTAGATGTCGTAATTATTTTCTACTCGGTAAGTGTTCTGGTTAGGATATTGTATACTTTGTATTTTTAATTTAAAAATACAAGATTTTTGTAGGCTGGCGAATAAATTATTATTTTAGTATCGAAACATCAGCCGATCAAACTGCAATGACAGAAGTTTATTATTTAAATTTGAAAAAAATTCGCTAAAAAACATTTACTTATCCTCCTTCACTATCGTTCATTCAAATATTTACTAAGACGTACTGTAATTAGAGTTCAAATGTTGCAGTAACTTTATTTCGTAAATCCAAATGTCCAGAATGATTGCGAAAAGAAAAAAAAAATTATACGTACAGTGGGACCGTAATTATATTTCTGGTCTGTCGGTCAAGCAAATTTGATTAAGAATTTTGCAGGAAACGCTGTTTGTTATGGTTTCTTTATCTGTACGTCTTGCATACTAATTTCTGAATGCGGAAATGCAATCATATGCTCGTTTTAATTTCTTTCCAAGTAAATACAAGCATTTGATGCTCCGTTATGCTCCTTAATTATACTCGACACTTGTTAAGAAAAAGCAAACTCGCATTTAGCAGAAAAACTTTCTCATGGTAAAATAAATTATTATCTTTTGTGTATGCTACGTTGCATTTAAAATTCATTTAAAATTATGAGTCTGATTTTAGGAAACGAAAACTTATCAACAGGATACAATATAGAAACTGCTTGTGAAAATTATTCCCACGAACTTGAATCATCTACAAAGATGATAAGACAGTGGAAAATCCTTCAGAACTGATAATTTTCTCCTTGGTAAAAAAAAAAAAAAAATAGAATTGACCTGATAATCGAAAGATCGTCGACTGATGTTGCAGGCATATTGCACGAGAGCACACGTGAGTATTTATCAATGTCGGTATCGCTACATCATTTTTACGACTTCTCTTTTCGCGCAGATGATCTCGGGTATGTATGGACGCTTTTTTCAACGAATGGCAAAGTGAAACGTTGTGCACGTGCGTCCACGGAAAAAATCTTATTTTTATCACACTTTCTTCTGTTGGTTTCACGCTAAGATTAATGCTTATCATTATGATTGATTATACGATATTATTTATTTTGTTTTCATTTTGCATGAAAAATATAACAAAAAAATTGTAAACCGAAGCACGTGTCGTTGATTTGATTGATATGAAGGATCATCAGCCGTTTTGTAAATATCGATAGGTGTAAAAGTCGAATACGGTCCACCTTTCGGTACATATGACCTAGACCCAAAAATAATGAAGAAAATCTCAGTACAGCACGGATATGACACTTGCGCAAGCATACTCATTTGGAAAAGGCAAATAACATGTTTGCGCTAGTTCTATTAAAAAAAAAAGTCGCATACAATTTTCCGTGAAAATATCCACGTGCTTAGTCTGAATTATCCTTAGTCATAAAATTTGGAACGTCGAGGAATAAAAAAGCCGTACTTCTGATAACCGAGTCGGTAAAACTTAAAAGTAAGTACCTACTCAAAAGCCAACGAAAACGCCTGAAAAGTGTAAGGCGCGCGAAGCGTGAGCAAGGCAAGGCTAGGCTCAGCTCGCTGCAAAGGAAAAACAAATGTTGGCTCGTGGCGTTGCTATCGCGTGATACGAGTGCGTTACTTATATTCTCCTGCGGGCAGTTCTTTCTTGACTTGCACGCATTTGGAAACTAACGCTACTCTGTAACGAACGGAACCGCACCTGTTGCCGTAATCAGCGTTTCCATTGTTTTTCTACGTATCGTGGCTGTGGGGATATTTTCATCGACCGGTACAATGAAGTTCTACGCGTCGTGCACCACGAGCAAACAAATATTAAGCAGTGTTACTTTGCAATTTCAAGCAGCGTGGTTTCAGTTTAGAAAAAGTGTTTTTAAAGATGCTGCGTGGCAGATGCTTTAGTTTCTCGATAGCATATTAAGTTCTTGCACATCATGTCTATTATGACATTTCTATTTTTGAGCTCGTCTTCACGTGTTTCAATAAAGTGTGAAATTAAATAACGTTACACTGCGGCAACTCTGTACGGTACGAGTGACGTTGCTTTTTTATCATAGATTTTTACCAAGTAGAAGATTCGCTTAATCATTTATATTTCCATTATTAATTTATGCAGAGCGCGATTACAAGCAGTTCATCTTACGTTTCGATCTACGCAACAACTTAATTCTCAACTTTACTATCTTTATCAGCTTAATCTTAGACTTTGAATGACGAACGTGAAAATGCCATTTATTTGTGGATACTTGTCCTTTTGCTAACAACGTTAACTGCGCATTTTTGCACCAGCGCAATTTATCAAAAGACATCTCGGCAGACAGGTGTCTCGTGTGAATTTTAACGACATCCTCGGTGACAAGATGAGGTCGTGACTCGAATAGGTATACTGGATCACTGAACGTAGCTGACGATTCTTATTTTTATTTTAATGCATTATAATTGTCAACTGGAATTTGAGCCTGCGATCGACTTAATTATTCCTATTTTTGAGTCTCTTGCAGAATTAAAAGGAGAGTTAAAAGAGTCACCTGCAATTTTTTGCATTGCATGTCCAGACACTAAAGAGATACCGACCACCAAGCGATACCATTTACGTGTAAATTGCACGTACAGCCAATCAAACGCAATGGAAAATATGTATTCTCACAACGATTCCACTTTTTAACGTATTTGCACGAAAAACTCAACAATTCACAAGGTAATTACTGACAATTCCATAACTCTAGATTTTCATCGCGACAACCATGACGGCCATGAAGTGAGTGTTTGATTCGGTCAAACACAAAATAACAAAATAGAACGCATTAAAGGCCAATGTGGCGATGGTTGCATCGATCATTTGCGCTGTACTCATCACAGACTTGGCTTGTCGAAGAACGACAGTTTCATCGACTTTCTTTTGGCTGAACATGGCACAATAATGCCGTGTTGGGAACACAGTAATCAACTATAAGACTACTCGAAAGTCAAACTTGTTTAGCGACGTGTAGCTTATGAAAGACTAAGTGTAGTCGAAGAGCTTTATAATCGAACGTATTGACGTAAGCACACGGTAGATCGTGGACCAACGTTTGCACCTTCGACCACGCTCTCGCGCGACGATTACCTGTGGTTTTCTAAAATTCTGCACAATATGCGGATGTAGTCTTCAATCAACTTATGATGAATTCTTCTTTTTGTACGATAAGTTTGCATTTGAAAGTGACAGTGGGTAGCTTCGATAAGTGTATTTCATGCAAACTCATACAATAAGTAACAGTCTTTACCTCGCAATAAGGATACTAAGTGACAAAGGAGATATTTCAGTTGACAGTCGAAAATTGGTTCACGGGTAAGCTACGCGGAAGTTGACGTGGAACTGAGGCAAAAGTGGCTTTTTCGCTTGTCCGCGTCTCGAAAATGCGAGAAAGGTCGTCCGTCTTGTAATGAACAGATCAATCATTACGTATTGTGCTTTGTAACCATCGAAGTCATGAATTTGCTTCTATTTACAGCATCACACGCTGACTGATCGTTTGAGACTTTATTTGCTTTCTGCGGTAAACTTTGATGGTAATTTAGTGGTTAGTTTCCGATCGCTCGAAACGAATGCCATGGAATTTTATGACAACAAGACGATTTTCTTTAATACATTATGTTTTTGGTATGAACGAATACTTCAAGTATTACAAAATCTGGCGGTATCATTCTGGAAAAGAACATTGGTATTGAAATCGAAAAGTTGTTGTCTTATTTCCAGTGAAAGTAATGAATGGTTAGTATATAAATAAGATGTTATGTAAATATGTTACCGGCCTGGAACTCAATTGAATCACTTGCGATAATATGCGAATGTTATTTGGGATTTTCCTCCGAAATGTTTTAAAGTTATGGAAAAATAACTATCACAGGATATATACCTACAAATCCGCAAACACATTCTTGTTTTACTGGTTTTGTGCAGTTACGAAACATGCGATAGTTGTTTTGGGTCTCGTCAAAGACGATTTTAGATTATTTCCTCTATCAACACAACTCGCTTTCATGTATTCCTCTTTTGTCCTTTAAACATAATTTTTCGGATGCTCGTTTGACTATACAATAGCTGATTATTAGTTTGTTAATTGAATCGGTAATTTCGTGCATCAATCCTGCGCATTTCAATTGCGATGACTATTTATTTTTCTAAGAGTAGTCATATAATAAAACGACACGCTGAACAGGCTTATTTAGCAGATATATATTTTGTAAAATGTTGTTATTGATCAGACGCTTGTAATAATAAGGTATTTTTACAAAGAATTTGATTTGCGCGTAAAAGTTAGTAAAAAAGAAGATTAATGAGAAGCCTAACTGCTTGAATAACGATGATAGACTTTAGTAAGATAGTTGACGTTCAAACATCCAAATACGTAAATACGAAGGAGAGTACATGATTATCTAGCATTGAGAGATAAAAGTAGGCTGTGAAATATCAGCATGACCTTTAACTATCATTCCTCGATACGGGAGTGTCTCATCTGATCAACAGCCAGCAAGAGCAAGAGAGCAGCATGAAAAAAACTGAACTGCGTCGTTGCGTCGCTCTTCGGCAGGAAAGATGCGGCAATCGTTCGAAATGAAAACGAAAAATTGGAAGGAGCACAGGTGAAAAGAGAGAACATTGCCCAGTGGACTTACATAAGCGCAGCGACAAAAGTTGACCGGGCTGACGGGCTGACGGGCTGACGGGCTGACGACCTTTCGCTTCGGCGCGCTTGGGCATGAAAAGACAATTTTCTAATCTAGTATAGCGTCACTTGTGCGTGCAACGCACGCGGCTCGCGAGTCGAGTAGCTTTCATATGCGCTTTCTTGCCGACGACGACGACGACGACGACGACGACGACACGCCTTGCTTCCTCGCGCCATTGCGTTAGCGTGCTCATTCGATTCATCGGCGCACCGCTCCTCGTTACTCGTCTCCTCGATCGTAAAAATATCAGAGTGTTGGTTTCCCGATCGGCGCCGAGTTACGAGAAGCCACGAAAGCTCGCCGCCTCGTACCAAAACAAATGGGAAACGTAATCGACAGACCACACGGTGTGCCACCGTGCCTCGACGACAAATTCAAGAGCCGGACATTACACACCTGCGCTGCCGCGATCCAAGTTCGTAAGTTGGCAATGCATAGATTGACAAAGCCTCGCAATCGAGCGATTACAGAGGCTTACTAAATGCATTTCCTTGAGCAATTCAATCCTTCACTTTTTTCTTGTTGCGTTTTACTTGAAACTCGTGAACGCGCTATGTGATAAACACACATTTTTACGTATTTTTACGCATTTTTACGCATTTTTACGCATTTTTACGCATTTTTACGCATTTATATACGAGTAGCAGGGTCTCGCTTTATTTTTTCTTCTTTTCGGACCAACAATTTTTAGCCGAGACTCTCGAGCAATGGCGTGCATAATGGACACTGTCCCATTTTTATCGGCAGCTGTCATATAGCCGCTCCCTTACGCAATACTGCAACGCCGTTGTGGCGCATTCGCATTTAAATCGGCGAGGGAAAGCGCGCACGAAGCTGAAAAAGACCGGTTAAATTAGATGAGCTCGTTCTTTTTTCATTTGCCGATCTAAGACGATTTTTCTTAGATTTACGTAACTTACGCACTCTCCTTTTTCTTTTCGCAGTCCCTCGTTTTATTCGGCACGATTACGTAAATCTCATTACAGTCATTTTTATGTGTCCACTTTTATATCGATCAATTATTCATTGCATCTTTCCATTTGTTTTATTTTCATTCCTGGCCTCGATGTTAGCCTTCATTTTAAACAACTAAATAGTTTTCGTTTCTGATGTAGCAGTATATATACATTTCAAGAATTTATCCTGTTGAACATTAGCAAAAAACATTTAAGCTTATTCCGTCCGAATGATTCGCAGTGAATTATTAATGAACCTTTTAGCTACTGCCGCTAACTACAGGAAATAACTGTTCCACTCGGATAAAAACCGCAAAAAGCTGACTCACAAAATTTTGTAAACTAGAGTAAGATCTTAATTACTTTGAGAAATTTCACTCGAATGTATGTATAAATGTTCTACCGAAAAATTATGACACTGATGTTCATCGTATCTGTGTTACCTAATAACAAAGAAAAAGAAAAAAACAACGTCTGGGCGAATTTCTTTAGCCGATAGTGTGTACTTCATCCGCGTATAGACGTCAACCAGCATGGGTGTATTAAGTCTTGCAATCCGAGGACAACGATATTCCGTGAAGTGCACTCGATCCGTACATGCGTTTACAAAACCGATAATAGAATATACACGTGTGCGAGGTACTCCTGTTTTACCGCGCGGGTGGTATGCGTATGATGATCCTCGTGGTGAATTTCCGTTGTTGTCGATAAAAAAATAATGACACGTGTCTTGATGGAAAATCTGCATGGTAAGGCTACCACTGAAAAGAATGCTTTCCGGATTATACGCTATACTTATAAATCAGCGGCTTAGTTTTTTTCTCCTTTTAGTCGCGATTAGTAAAGATTAACTGGAACTGCCGGCTATTGGAAAGAAATGGGCTATTATTACGTAAACGGAGAGTTTTCGTTCGGAAGCACTTCCAGTCCGTTGCCGAGACTTTAACGAAGGTTTCGGAACGTAGGTGGCAATTAGACGGGAATTGGAATACCGTAGAAAGTGAGTCTTCCGGTGGCGCGAAGATCGTCGCGAGGAATGGAAATCAAGGCTAATAATGGTCTCGCGCGACAGGAAGGACGACCAGGTTGTTACATAAGAGGGATTCTCTTACACCTCGGTCTTCCAAAAAGAAAAGAAAAGCAACTCTGTTCGTGGCCTATTACGAAAGAGAAAGTAGATACACACGATGTTACGCTATCGACAGACGCGCTTTCGCAGGAATTATAATATAGGTGATGTATTTCTACATTTTTTTTCATCACGAATTCGAAATATTTAAGCTGCTCATTATCAACTAGACTCGCTTTCTCTCTAGTTGCCCTCTATCGCTAATTACTTTCTTAACTTACTCTCTAAAGGATATCGTTCTTTTCGTTTTGGCTCATCGTTTACTTCGACCAAGAATGCTCTTTCTTGTCTGCCTTCCCAACCTATTCTTCATTATGTATGCAGAATAATTATTTGAAAAGACTTTTTTCTGGCTAAATTCTCAGCACTGAACATCACTGAATAACGTCCAACACTAGTACGCGTCTGGTATCGGAAGCTGTTCTTTGTATTCCTTGCGGCTTTTGCATTTCCTTTGCAAATTTGAAGACCAACAAGAATTTCCTTGTACCGATAAATAAATCAAATCTATCATAGTTTTTATTCCAGGAATAAGAAAATTGTAAATGAAATTTCATGGAAATTCATTAACTTAAAATTACAGGATGGTAATATATTCGGTATTTCTGTTTGTTCGTGTATTTGTCTGGAGAAATTCTGTATGCCGTGTGATAATCGTCACCAGAACAGCCACAACAGTCCAAGAAATATAGCGCGAAAATTAATCAGAGTGCATTTTTGGTTAACAGCGATCGTGAAAGTTAAGAGCGTTGAAAAGAGTTGCGAGGAGAGCGCGTTCGAATCGGCTGGTTGCGAGATAAAGAGAAAAGCAGATAACGTCCATTGCGACGTAAGCACGCGTCGACCACGAATTTATTAATAGCCTAAGTGCGCGTATACGACGATTCCCCTTCGCATCGTTGCGCTGGTTAGCCCTGGAAAGTAAGGTATAAACAGTTGACTGACCCGCGAGTTGATAAATTTATTGTCGGGGCACCGATTTTTCACGATCGACGTCGACGCGCCGCCGCGCCGCCGCGTAGCCTTGATCTTGCAAGTTTCCTTACAGCGAGTTTGAAGATGATCGAACGACGAAACAACTAAAACCAGCGCCTTGTCAAACGAATGCATTCTCTCCCGTATTTCTTGGTAAAGAACACGATAAGTTTGTGCTTTAAATTGTCGATTAGCATAAATTATTATCGCAATGAAATCGGCAAACGTGTGCAACTGCATGTACACACTTGCTGATACACTGTGACCGATTAAATCTTTTCATTTAGTCTCTCTCGCGATGAAGACGTGAATCTTAACGACCAAACAAACACGCGTGCAGTGGCCGCACTGAAAATAGTCGCAATGGAAAAAAAGCCATTTACATGTGACTCGGCTCGAAGCGCTAAACGCCTCTCGCTCTACGTGAATCAATAGGATACCTCTCGTTATTCAATTAAAGCTCGGGACAAGCATCGCGCACAACACTTTTTCTTCATTCCTGCTGTTTATTAATAGATTCCAATAGACTGGACTGGCTAATAAACTTCAAATTGCTCGCTCTCTCCACTGAGCAATTTACTGTTTGATCCCTTACGAAAAATAAGATTTACTGTGACAATGAAACGAGCCAGCAGTTGAGCGGACAAGCAGTGCTTGTATCGGATTGTATAAACAGCTTATCGATTAAACAGCTCCGTGCCTACAGACACTACAATAAAGACACGTTTGTTAAATACCGATCACTCCGTCCTCCCAATAGGAATTGCAAGGCTGCACCTTGCAAAAAATTTCATAGGCACGAAAGAGTCGATGAAAAATCCTTTATCGGTTCAATTGAAAGCAATTCGAAAAGTATGCGGTTAATGGATGTTGTTCTTCGAGTAGCGCAATAATTACTTGCCACCATAACTCATCGCGTCTGCATGGCAATATGACATTTACAAAAGCCGCTTAGCGATAATTGAGAATCAGTCGTTTATCGAAAAGAGGCTCGAACAAAAGATAAAACCCTTACCCTGACTACAAGATGAGTAGAAGCAGCAACGGCTCGAGAACGTTTGAAATGGTTGTCCAAGGATGATAGAAAAACCGTTTCGTTCACTGAATCATCGAGCGCACTGGCAGAGAAACAAACAAAACAAAACTAAACGAAAGAAAAGTAAGAATCACAGTATAGAAAGGCGCGAATCTCGATCACAAGCGCGCACTCGAGATCATGACATTTGTTTGGTGATAGAGATCGTGAGTTATTCAAGTCGAGCCTCCGTACGAAGGACTGAGCACGACGATCGGCCGGCTGCGGACTAACACGCGCTTTTCTCCCTCCTCTCTCCTTTTCAAACTCTCCTTCTCCGGCGCGATCACTTTCCTTCGTGAGTCGTGGCTTGAGTGGGGAACTTTAGCGTTGCTTTACGTACACATCATACACTCGCTCTTGTTGCTTGTTGCTTGTTGCTTGTTGCTTGTTGCTTGTTGCTGGCTCAAACCACTATTTGCGAGGGATGCTCGAGCGACGAGGGGAGAGCTTTTGAAAGAAAGGCCGACTGAAGCAGCGGCTTCGTGCGGTTTTTTCAGTTGCGCAGATTGCTTATGGGATTGTTTGTGTCTCTTGCGACACGCATCCTTTTTTCCTGCAGTATTTCCTTTTGTCAACTGCTTGCGAGCACTTTCTTATGGAAAACGCGACAACGCTGCGGCGCGTTACTTTCGCCTTTTATCATTTCATATGTTTTCTTCGTTACAAACTATTTTTTTCTCCACTACAATTATTTATTTTATCGTTATTTTCACCGATTTTCATAAATAAAAGTCCAACAGTTTTCAAACAACATTACATTCCAAACGTGTGGTGAGGAAGCTATGAAAATAGCACGACTGACAGGCTTTTCAGGAAATATTATAAGCTCGTTAAATTTCAGCAATTTCGTACGACAATTGGCAGCGATTATACGATGCGTCGATGCTCCTAGCTTAGACTAAAATAACCATTTCTGTTTTACGAGATAATAAAAGTGTTGTTGATTGTGCTATTGATTGTAAGTCAGAAAAGCTGTTTCATATTGTTTTAGTGTAAATGTAAAATTAAAATGAAATGACCGATGGGTATAACTGAAAAGTCACGTTACGCAAAGAGGAAAACTTTTCGTTCATAATTAAGAAATATACTGATTGATGATACTGCTAAAGTCGCAGAGCACAATAAAAACAATAGGTTTCGAAGTTTAAGGGACCAGGTCCCTAATTTACAGCATAATTTACAGCAAGGTCATAGGCCGGCTTTTTCAATGCAGCAACGTGCGCTTCTACCTGACCTCTCGCGTTTACTTATTTTTCTGTCATTAATTTCCTGCGATATGCTATTTGTTCCATTCGTTTATATTTATGTCACATTACATCATTTTTCTACGATTACACCTGGAATAATTATCCTTGATCTTGAATATAAGCATTTTATTTAGGGCACAATAGTCTACTATATACGATTAACATGTTTTCAACTGATGGATTATTCATACGTCTAGCGTCTAGCGGGCGATATTTTTATATTTTACTAATTCCAAAATCTCTAATGTTCAATCTTCACTGCCATTTCTTCTCGGGAGGAGTATCACTTCTCGATTAATATACCATTCGCAACTGCAACACGATGTCATCGTGATTACCATATTTAGTTTATTCATCTTTTTCTCTGTAGTAGGATCACTTTCAATTGCGCTCCTTGCGGATTCCTAAATGAAGACGTTCGTCGCCGAGGACATCTGTACTGACAACTGGTACTTTACCTCCTTTACCAAGTATATTTTTTAATTGTAAAAGATGCCGTAACATCTTTCATTTTTTTTCAACTCTTCTTCTCTATCGGAATGCATATAAAAAAAACGAGGCTAAACTCATTTGAAGAGCAGTTGCATTAGTTTACTGGTAAGATTTCAAGTTTTTTGCTCGCAGTATCCGCTGATACGTGAGCAGACGGCGAAAAAAAAAGGTCAGTAGAAAAAAAGTAAGTACCTTTTTGAAGCCTACGAAAATAATATTTTTTTTACTACTTTGTAATTCAATTATTTTTGCTTTCTCATACAGGAAGTTTTGTTTTAGTGAAACAAATAATTTTCTCCAAATCATCATGGAAGTATGTTTTGAGGTGTTAGGAATCATAATAAATCATTTTTGAAAAATGTCTGTGTGCGTGCGTGTGTGTAGTATGTATGGAGCCATCAATAAATTGTGTGTGCTGATATGTAACAACACTGGTTATATTATTAAGGGTCTGGGTAGTCAGAACCTACTCGTTTTCATCTGTAGGTACGACATTGTGGTCCGTTTGTCTAAATAAATAAATAATAAAACTTGGTGAATAAAAAATATTTTTATTTAATTTAGTTTTATATAGATTTATATTTTTAGTAACATAAAACACAACGAGTCAGTAAATCTTTAAAATTTTATTTCTATTAACATAGTACTAACCAAACGTGAAACTTTTTAATTATAAATTGAATTGTGAATTCGATTAATTACATTGCGAAAAAATAGTTAAATTTTACCATAAAACAAAAAGTAATTCAAACAAACTTTAATTAAAATCAACAAATATAAAAAGGAAGCTAATTGCCAATGGATTGGCAGCGTTTTTCTATAGATATGAAAAAAGCTATTTTTTATAGCGTCTTTGTTTAGTCATTAAATAAACGCTAAACTTTTTTTTGTAAAATGTATACAAAAACATAATTCGAAAGTGAATAAATTTGCCTGATAAATTTTTATAGTTTCTCAGATTTCATCGAATTTTAATGGATAGCAAATATGAAAAGTAACACTTAAAACAGGAAAATCACGTGGATATATAAGCGCAATGTTTAAAAACCAGTCCTATAAAACAATTATAAAGTTTTATTGCAAAACAATAATTTGTCATGTTTGCGTGACTTTAATAACTATAAAATACCAATTGACCTAAAATTTATCTTAGTATTTTGACGACTCGTAATCATTGTAAAAACTACGGCAAACTAAACAAACAACGTGTTGACTATGCAATAATTAAAGGAAAATTCTACATTGCACCGGCATCAATCTTATGTAAAAATTATGTTTGATTACAAGGAAACTCAAAAAGCTTATACTCTAGCCAACTATAATTGATAGTCAATTTTACATCAGTTTTACGCTAATTTGACACGCAGTAGTTATGAAACTATATATTAGTTTTTTTATAAAAAAAAACCAAAAACTTGTTCAATGGGTAATTCAAAACTTTGGTTGGTAATTAAAAGATTCACTACGAGACAATACTAATGAAATTTTATTGTTGCCAACGTTTCGAATACATTGTCGTACTCCTTTTCAAGGTTTGAAATTTTATATTTTAACTGTTTACATAATTTATGTGAATAAGAAAACTTTGCAACTTCCTTTCTGTCTTTGTAATTTACCGACAATAAACTGCAGCTGTATTTGCAACTTATCGACAAAAAACTTTATTTTTGTTAACTTTTAACATGATTTTTACACAAAATAAAAAAGACAGAAATTTTTTAATAATTCTAACACTAATTCACCGGACCATGGAATTGAGCAAAACTCATGGAAGTGCCTAAAATTTGCTTGTAAATCTTTTTGTTGAGAAAAATCTACCTATAATCGATTAACCTGTCGATACCATCAATGAATTCAAATTTTAGTATTGGAGTGGTGGCTTCTATGTGTTTCTATTTTTTTTACAGTGGTAAAAAGTATGAAATATTTTGGTATAGTTGAGAAAAGTTATATCATGTCTAAGAAACATAATGAATGATCTTGTTGAATATTTATTTTTTTGATTTCATCAATAAATGTAGTACTATTTTTTAACAAGACTTATATAATAAATAGTTAATTTATGTAATATAAATTAAAATTAAAAGATTATACTATAATAATCGAATATAATAATCAAACTTTAAGTTCAGCCTGATAAGGAACACCATAGTATACTAGATTTTAGTATATTTCTAAATGTAGCTGTTATTTCTGACTGGATCTCGACAGTTTTGTATGGTGGATAAATAAGCCTCTGCTTCAAATTATTAGAACATGGATGGACAGGTGAATATACTGTTTTTTTGGCGAATTTTTGGTAAATAATTTGATATAGTTTAAGAATAACGTGTGACTTTTTTTTTGCAAACCATTAATGATTTCCAATATGATTTTATCTTTGAATTCTTCATTTTTTATAATATAAAATGTTTCATCAATAAAATTTCCGAATTTTTAACGAAACATTGAATCAGGCATATTTTACAATAGACATTTTGAATAAATAATAAATTCGGAATTATCGAGCAACCTTGACAATACTATACTTTATCACGAGCTTATGGCGTTATCAAAATTCACAAAGGAAATTTCTTAATTCATATCGTGGTATCATGTATAAACAGTCCAAGCTATACGTTTGATAAATGGTTTTATTCCAATTTTCATTCAATTTTTTACTAAACTTATTTATTAATCTAAAAAATAAATATTCCACAAGATCATTCATTATGTTCCCTAGATGTCGGATGGTTTTTCTCACATATATATACTTAAAGATCTCATACTTTTTGTCATTAAAAAAAGATAAATACACATTATAGCCACCATTCAACTATTAAAATCTGAATTCATTGACGGTATCGACATGCTAATCGTTATTACGTAAATTTTTTTCAACAAAAAAATTTACAAGTAAATTTTAGACATTCTCATAGGCTTTTGCTGAAACATAAACAACATTTTGAATATTTTTAATAATTACAACAAAAATTTACAGCTTACCATGGAATTTGAAAATAAAAAGAGTATCAGTTTCCTAAACGTTTTAATAATTGAACATGATAATCTTCCCCTACTTTTTAATTGGTGTCAGAAGAAGATTGCTTTTCGAAGATACATTCGTCATTGGTCGTACCATCTTATCTTCCAGAAAATAGCAATTATTATTTATAACCAAACAGATAAAGCAATACAACTTGTTGACAAATAATTACATAGTAAAAACATTCAATTAATTACAATCTCTCTACTAGCTAATAAATACTCATTGAACTTTATAAAAAAACATATAGAAAAAAGAATTGCTCACATTTATTAGCAATATAATCTAACAATGATAATAATAATTACAATAGCCTAATAACGTTAATATCAATTCTGACAATACAATAAAAGAAGTTTTAGTATATTATGCAACGAGTGCGGAAAGGTTTGTGTCACGAAATAAGGAGTTTACGGCACGAGCCGAAGGCGAGTGCTGTAATTCGTTTCCTAAAAAAGCCTTTTTGCA